ATTCAGGCTGCGACCAGAGTCACGGAACGAATTAAGTTCATAACCCGAGGTACCACTGTATTTGAGCCTTAGCTGCAAACATTCATTGTCTACTATGATTGTAGTGCTTGTTTACTGGTGGATCTGTTGTTCCTTATTTGCATCTGTTGTGTCTTATTGGCCATTGCAGGTAGGTTTTATCCACAATAGAAGACACTAAAGTCAGGATAAGGGTTTTCTGCTTCTTGCTTTACTGAAACTTTTAGAAGAACTAACTGTAGCATAATTCTTTGGCAAGAATTAGATACAGGTAGCCCAGAATAGCAGAGCAACAGTACTGGATCACAGGCATGCTTAATCAATCAATAAAAATAATAACTCGTTAGACTACAAGTTGCATTAGAAGAAATATAGTTACAGATCATGGGAAGTCATTGTTCCACTGTATTCTGTACTGGCCAGATGTCATTTTGAGTATTTTGGACACTATGTTTTAAGAAAGATGCAAAGAAATGGAGCAACTATACAGAGAAGGACCGTGAAGATGATCAGAGAACTGATAACTAAATCTTGTGAGCAGAAACTAAAAAAATGAGTATGTGTAGGTGTCAGAGTCTGCACACTCATCCCCAAAGTTCAGTAAATCCTCTGGACTCTAATTAGTCCTGGCAGTAGGAGGGCTGTGCATCCTTCAGAAATGATTCAGGCAACAAATGCCTCAGAGCACAGCACTTCCCTGATAGTCAACAAAGCAACCAGACTCTTCTCAGTCTTAAACAGGGAAAAAGGTGTTGCTGGGTTGAAGACATGCATGAACATTAATGAGGTAATGTTCAGTCTTTAGAAGACTGAGAAGGGACAGTGCTACACTGGCATCTTCTGCAAACTGCAGTAATGCTAGAACAACAATGACATATTCACACAAATGCTGTGATTGCATGCCTATATGAAGTACATAAATCACAACCTGTGTTTGATTATGTCATTGTGCATGGGTGGTCACTTGCCCACCCTTGCAGACATCCGTGGAAAACTAGGAGTCTAGCTTTCTCTATCATCCCAGGCTGCAGGACTCAGAACAATGGTCCTACATTGCAGAAAGCCAGATTCTGGCTGAAAGTTAGGAAATAAGCTTCTAATCATAACAACAGTAGTTCAATAATGGAACTTAGTACCAAGAGTAATGGTATGCTCCCCTTTGCTGGGCAAAGGTCTGTCCTGAGTACTGTAATTGGGATTCCTGTTCAGAACAGGAGGTGGAATCAGTGGCCTGAGTGGGATTGTCCCACTCTAGGATTTTGAAAGTGTGAGCAGGAATCAGTGCTGAATCATCTACAGGTCGTCCCTGGGTTCAGAATGCCCAGTTTAAGGACAACTCATAGTTAAGAATGGAGCCTATTGTAGCAAAATTCAAGTTATACACAGTGGTTTGAGTTCAGTACACAGTGGTTTGAGTTCTTTACACAATGCTGCTTATATCAGTGTTTCTCAACCTTGCAACTTTAAGATGCATGGACTTCAATTCTGCGAGTTGAAGTCCATGCATCTTAAAGTTGCCAAGGTTGAGAAACACTGGCTTATACAGTATCATACAATAATACTGTTCCGGCTCACATACAAATTCAACTTAAGGACAGACCTTGGGAACAGAACTGGTTCTTAAACTGGGGACTACCTGTACACAGGTTAGCCTCCCAGCAATGGGATTGCATGAATTGGAGTAGACCAAGTTTACTTTGGAGTGAGAAGTGTGCTGATATGAGCCCCTTATTTAGGTTTAAGACCCTAGCAGATTAGAGATTTCAAGCATCTTTGGGATACTTGCTATATTTACAGATCTACCAGCAGATCCTAAATAAGACACTGTTAGACAACAGATCATATTTCAAAAGACTACTTTTTCAGGATGTCCTTAGTTAAATCCCTTATCTAAATTACTTCTCCTGAAAGCTATTCTCGGCCTTAGTGGATCATTCTTTTGTTCAAAAGATTCAGTTGCACCTCTAATATTACAGGAGAGATCCGACCCAGTTGAATCTATGAAATCTGGGAAGACCCCCACACCAGATTGTATGTA